CCTAGCATTACGACCCATTTTCTTGCCACACCCTCCTCCTGTACTTTTTATCCGTCCATAATATCTAATGTTTCGTTCCAGACATCCTCAACTGAGACAAACATACATACATCTTCATATATTATCACGATTTTTCTGAATTATCTATCAGGCGTGTTTGTTTTTCTCCATTTTATTCTGTTTTTTTTTTAAACTTTTTTGGAATTTTTTTTTCAGAACAAACTAAAGCAGTTTGTTTTGAGTGAGCAAAAAATGTTTAACAAGGAGCTGGAAAAATGCCAGCTTGTTCAGGGTGCTAATTTGTCCAGCGGGGGCTGTTCAAGAATCTGGTAAATAACCGAAACACGAATTTCGTCTATTACGTAGAATACAGCGTACTTTCACAGGATTTAGGTGAGTGAGGTGAATGAGGCCACCCAAAGGAATTATAATAGATAGCAGCTGGGGCACGCGAGCTTAAGTATTGTTAAAAAATCCTTATTAAGAGCCAGTCAGATGTGCTACCGATTACTTCTAAGTCACTCTCGAAAGAGGAAATCATTGAAAGCTTGCCAACGGGCGATTACGGTTGACAGGTACGACTACTCAGATTACGTCTGAATGCTTCGGCATTTCAAATAATAGATACGGAAAGAGTTTTGACTTTTGGAAGTGCTGCGTTAGGGAAATATTTTAGAATGCTGCCGTTGACGCCATTTTTAATGAAAGCATAAAATTCATCAAGTACCACCGGTAAACCCGGAAGGCACCAGATACAACCCAATTTCAATGAAACATCAAAAAATATGAAAATTATCAGATTCGCCCGGCAGTCTGTTCAGATTAAGCAACATTTTTTTGGATTCTGTTAGTAAAATTTTCAGGACCTCTTGTTGATAGCTCACTTTTTTAATTTTCTTGAAACAAATGTATACAACATAGGGATTAAAAACTTTTTTAATGATGTGTGGGCGGCTGAGGAGGACAGAGTGTACTTAAATTTGAAGTCAAAGTGTGTGCAATACTGTTTTTTAAGCCTTTTCAATATTTTTATGCGTTTTTGCACTGGTGATCAAGTCCTTTTCAAAACAGTTGCACACATCAGACTGTGAAGCAGTGAACGTCCTTAACAGAAAGCATCTGCTGCACAAAACTGCAAATGCACGATTGCTGTGATTGCTAGGCGCGCGGAACAAACATCTTCTGCGCCTTACAACTACTACGCTTTTTAGTGAACGATTGGTTGTTTCATCGTCGCGTTTCTTCTCGTCATTGATGCAACTGGCAACTTCTCAAATGAATTATCACTGGTGAAAATGTTAATACACAAAGAATGTGTCTTTAAATGTTTTCTTCTGAGGAGTTAAAATGGCCTTCTTCGCTGTTTTCAGAAAAGCAGACTTTCTGGTTATGTAACTGGCAGTTGGCGCATGTGGAGAGAGGGAGAAGGTTTTTGTTCGTTTCTGCAAATTATTGGCTTCGTATGGGGCATACTTATAAGCTGTGATTGTTTCGAGCTTCCAGTCAGATTAATTATTCATAGTTAGTGGCAGGAACAAATGCTGCCCAATCTTGTTCCTTTCGCGCTCGTGTTTCGCGCTCACTGATTTCTTTTGCAAACAAAGTTTTAAGCTTCCAATCAAAAAACCGCTTACGCATCTTTTAACACTTATTTATTCAAAGTGTATCTATCGCTTACTTATTGTGCATGATTGGCCCCCATGTTTTGTGATCCTAAAATAGTACAAGCTTAGCGAAAACAAATCATACATACGTAATTCAACAAATACTGTTTTTTTTTCGCTGTGATTAAGATTCGCGCGATTTTTGTAAGCCAAGCTATTAACTGTGTGTGTGTATTTGTGTGGGTGTGTGTGTGCATAGGTGTGATTTTCGTGCTTATGTGTAACTATGTGTATGTGCGTCTGCATGTATTTGTGCGTGTTTGTATGTGTACGCGTGTCGCGGACATGTATGAGTGTTTGAAATGTAAGCCTGTTTACGTAAATGTTTGTGTGTGTGTGTGTGTGTTTCTGCCTATCTGCATGTGCAGACTTGAATGTGCCCGAGTTAATCTACATGTGTGTGTGTATGTTCGTTTGCCGCACATACATATTTGTACACGTATGTGTCTGTTTGTTGAAGTATGTTTGTGATTTACGCGTGTGTGTTTATGTGTGTGTATATGAATATATATATATATATATATATATGTGTGTGTAAAAGTGTGTGTGTATGTGTGTGTAAAAGTGTGTATATTTTGTGTTTAGATGCTCGTTTGTTCCTCAGAAGTATTACTCGCTGGTATACGTTAATCATCGACTCCAGCACTCTAAGCAGCTTATATTACTGCTTATCATAAGTACTATTTGACCTTCACAGTCTAATTAACACTTTTTGACCTTCACAGTCTAATTTACACTTTTATCCGTGTAAATCAAAATAAAACCCATCTGAACTATCGGCGGTATATAAAATTAGCTTTACAACAAAGTCCGAGAATAGAACCACTTGGCATTCGTTTTGTATACCGATGAGTTTACGATATGCTTCCAAAGAAGTAGCACTTTCTACTAATGGATCTAATGGCACTTTGTACAGATGAGAATTTAAGGCTATCGCTGCGGTGGACTAGCAATTCTTTGCACTTGGAGAATGAGCAACGTTAGATCGAATCAATTTTTGTGCAGCTGCGCGATTTATCCGCCTATTTGCGTGTTGCTGGTGACAGTTATCATTTTCTTTTTCAGGATATTTTTACGGTATGGAAAGTTATGTATTCTTTCCGCTTCAATCCACAGTCCTGCTTTTTTTGAAGAATATTCTCGTCTTTTCCCATCTTCTACCTTTACGTATCTGCTCCTGTCTCACTGAAGCGTCCTGAATCAAAAATTAAAAATTGATTATAAAAATATGAGTAAAAACATGTTAACTGGAAAAAAAACTTCTCATTAAATCGAAGTTATATTTCTTAATTTATATATGAATGCGCTTGTACATTGAGTAAGCGATAGATACTAACTGTGATGTACAATTCAAGATCGAAAGAGCCTATCATAGCTGCGTTTGACGTTTGCAGCATCCCAGTAGCACCAGTAATACCGATTATCCGTGCCTGTTGGTATCCTGTTCTATTAACAAAGCAAGCTTGTCTGGCCCAAGTGACAAAAAAAGTCCAAAATGTACAAAAACATACGGGCAAACAAACAAACATATATTCACACGTAAATGCGCATGCACTTAAACGAAACAAGGTTATGCACTGGGAGGAAATCGAATCACTTGTCTTTAAATGTGAACGCGATGGCGTTAAAGCACTGCATCAATGGCCCTTGTGTTCCACGTACGTATGGCGCCCCATATAAATGCTCGGTTTTCCGACTGCACGTTTGAACAATCGCCGGCTTTTCGCAGGACTTCCCGGGCAGAATGCACGCATGTATGTACATGAACAAACAAGTAAAAGGCTATCACTATGGATATTCCATGCTTCTTTTGAATACCACCGCTGCTTTCTACTGACGATTGAAGTTCAAGAGGGATCGATATCCTAATTAAATAGTTCACATTATTCAAAATTTTTTTTAAGCAAAAATGAGTTTAGTGAAGTCAAACTTGTAGCTGGATGATGCTGGCACCCGAAGAAGACTGTCGAATCGGGAGGCAACAGCGCGCCGCATAATGCCACTACACCAGCGGCAATATCCTAGGCGTACCACGGTACACACAGTACCACTGCCACTACTACGGTCTCTGGTAGCAGTAGTTGCGGCCCCAGACACATCGCCTTCATTGCGCTTCTACAGAACATGACCCCGGTCCGGGAAACACGGTCATGAAACGTCGGAAAGCAGAGCTCGGGCCAAGGCACCAGCAATGGGCCCAGCTCAGAGTAGCCCAACTATCTTGCTCAAGCCTTTTCTTCCTCATGTCACTTTTCGCCTTCGCAAAAGCGACACTTGACGGTAAGATTTTTTATGAATTTTGAAAAAAGTAAGAAAAAAAAATGATTGCTATAAATTATATCAAATTGTGATTAAACTGTACAAAAACTTAGACTGAAAACTGAATGTGATTAGCTTAAAATTTATAACTTTACGCCTTATTACGCAGTACTACAACTAAAGTTTGTCGAATTTCTGGATTTGAACAAAGTCGTTTTAATTCCCCAATCTAAAGTTATCTTGCTGCGCCGAAAAAATTTCTCAAAAAATGGAGGCGAATTGGCGAAAACTTCAACGACCCAAATCAGTTTTCCTACCGAATCCCATGCATGCTTCCAACCATACGGAAATCGGCACTGTAATTTTGATAGCTCGTACTAAACATTTAAAATCCCACCTTATTCTGAATGATTTATTGTCTGCCAACTGTATTATTACTGCTTCTTCTTCCAGACTGGCAGTATCAGAGTTACATAGAAGCTCTCTCATGTAAGTTTGTTTAAAATAAACAGTAATAGCAGCTGAAGTTGGATTTTCTTTATCTTTGGTGGGCATAGCGCACTGGCAAGAAACATTACTCTCGTGCGGTACCAGTAGGTTGAAGGTTCAAGTTAGCTGGTAAAACAAACGGTCCTTCTTCGATTCGACCATTTGTTTTGTTGGTAGATTGGTACTAGCATATGTCAGGGAGTGAAAATCGCCAACAAATTGCTTTTAAGCAATTCTCGAACGAGGACGCCACAAATACCGTTACCAACGAGTGGTTGGTATTGGCACTTAATAGCACTTGAGGTACTTTTGAGTGCCTTCGTCCCTGGCAGAAAGTGGAAAATTTTCCATGGAAAAGTGAGAAGTAGGATTAACAGACAGGATTTTTAAAAAAGTTGACCGCTGTCCAGCTAAACAATACACCCAACTAAATTATCTTATTGTAGGGAACTTAAAGGTCCCGCATTGCGGGAAAACAGATTTCCCCAAATTTTTACTTTTCTGTAGCTATTGTGTCCCTTCCTTTCTAAATCCAGTACAAAGTTTTATGGAATTTTATGAAAATTTTCAAGGCGCCACTGAGGCAGTATTTTAGACAGTGCCAAATTGATCATTCGGCCCGATTCATCAACGGTTGCCGCAGATACAAGAGTGAGCTTTTTTTGTCGTGCCGATGGTAATCCAATGCCCAGCGTAATTTGGAAGAAAAATCAACAATCAATTTCGGATCCAAGGTACTTGAGAAAAAACAATTGAATCAATTTTTTTAAAATTAATACAGTGGTATCGCTAGGCGCTTAAAAATAGGAATACCTCCTTTAAAAATAGAAATACCTTCACAACTTTTTCTCTTCCTCTCGTCCGTCTTATTTTTACTCCGTACTTATGCAACTTGGCACATGCTCATCATATACACGACGGGAGTCGGTTGTACTGGGGACTTCCACTTCTACCAGCATGCTGCGCACGGTCTGTATTTATAACTAAGAGATAAAACACAGATTCCATTCAAATACTTTGCACATGATATGTAAATTCGTCCTTTATCTCCTAATTTATTATTTCATTTACTCCTTGAAAAGATTCGTTAGAAATGCCCTGTGGAGTTACGCGGAGCAGGGAGGCTCAACATAGAGAAGAATGGAGAAGTTGCCAGCTGCATCAGTGATAAGGAAAAACAAGCAATTAATTATCCCCATTGTGTTGAGTGATTATTATCACCTAAATCGCTAAGCTTCTCATACGTTACCATCCATGCTTCCGGTCTATATTCAACTGATGGGATTTATTTAGCCCTACGTAGCACTATTTTTATGGTAGAAATTCTTAATTCATCTTTGCCACTGGAGGCAATCAGTCTGTCTACAAGTATTTCATTCGTTTCGATGGTAAATTGGTACTGGGCTTAGAAGCAAAGCTGACGTTTGATGCTTCAAAAAAGGGAGAACCATGGATGGTTGCTCTTGACGCGTTCTATCATTTGGACCTGTTATCTCGAAGTTCACTTGTCAGAGAGTGAAATATTAAGTTGGCTCTAACTTTTATTCACAACTCGGCTTCAGATACATCAAGACCATTTTCCTCGTTTTTACGATCAGTGCCTGTAACTGTAGTGAACAAACTTAATACTTGAGACGGCTACTAGTCCACCACTGAACGGTCAAAAGTACAATTAAGAACGAAGACATTTTTTTCCGTTTCTTTGTTATATTCGCCGATTCTGGTAGCCTTATGTTCAGCAGCTACTAGTGATCCTTACGTTTCGCATAAACAAGAGGTGTTAAATTTAACGTGAACAAGAATACGAAAAGGATTCGACTTGAGTGGCACAAGTGATCATTGCAGGTATTCAACAAAAACACTTCCGAATGGAATGAGTACGCTGAGGATCGAACCGGTCCGGATGGAAGATGCGAATGTTACCATTACTTGTGCAGCTGATAATGGTGTTGGAAGTCCGGTGGTGGCTGATGCTGTACTCACAGTTATTCCATTCGGTAAGCCAAAAAGTTTGCGAAGGGTAACATGAAAATGTGAAAGAAAAAAAAAGTTAAGTTAATCATGTAGGAGAAATACTAACCGCTGACAACAATGATAATAACAACAATAATAATAGTACGAATAATAATAATAATAAAAGGAGTAATGGTGATTACAATAATGATAGTGATATGATAATGATAATAATAATATTGCATTAGTGAGTGATACTCACGAGGA